AGGAGGAGGAGGAGGAGGTAGAGTAAGAGAAAGAGAAAGAGGAAGAGGAAGAAGACGGAGAGGAGGAGAAGAAGAAGAAGAAGAAGAAGGGGGAAGAGGAGGAGAAGAAGAGAAAGAAGAAGAAGAAAAAGGAGAAGAAGAAGAAGAAGAAGAAGAAGTAGGAGGAGGACGAGGGGAAGAAGAAGAAAAAGGAGGAGGAGCAGCGGTGAAGAGTCTCGTGGGCTGGGTTGGATAGGATGCAAGTCTGTCACAGGGACAAAGCGCCAAGTCAAATGCTTGTTGACTCGGTAGAATTAGAGCGTTCAGGCAGCTGGCAATACAAGCTGCCACTGCCGGTGCATGATAGCCACCCTCGAGGGCGAGCACTACGCGACCGTTGTTTGCGAGTGACATGCACTGAATCCAAGAGAGCCGAAGCGTGAAAAATACAGGGGCAGAAGCAACGAGCATGGAGGGACAAAAAAGCAATAAAGAGAAAAGAATAAATATTCATAGCATGCAGAGCGAGAAGATACTGTCTGTGACATTGTAAATGTGTGAGACTGAGTAAGATCTATTTTCAGTCTGCATATAATGACGATCAGCCCAACTCCATTCACTCGCAAATGTCAACATCATAGACAGAGCCTACAAGGTCGTAGAAGAAAAGAAGTACAATTTGGTTAATTAGCCAACCGAAATTGCAACAAAAATTACATAGATATGCGAAAAAGGAATTTTTTAAAATAAATTTATAATAACTCAACAACTGTGGTTTTGACCTTTCACGTACAAATTGAAGAGCCCCAAGAGGGGACAATAAATAAACAGAATAATTGTCGGATAAACTCGTGCACAGCTCTGCGAAAGAGTAGTGAATCAATATATTATCCATATCATAAGTAAGTTTTCGAGTAATATAGCAAATACAACTTTGCTTCATCGACAATCCCACCAGAGAAATGGGAAAGGCCTAAGTTTCCTTGAAATTCACGTCTGCTCTGTGACCCGAGGGAGCTCATGGCAGTCTGGCGTATTGGTTGATATGTCGAAACTATATACTGTACTACCACAAACCGGGTTAGAGTCTTTCTGGAGCTGGTGATGAAACCTGGGCGAGGTCGAAACTGCAGTCCATTCTTGCCTGGATGAGAATGTCATTTAGAAGGCAAGGCTACGACTTACTTATATGATTGTAGGAAAATTCTACTACCAGTCAACCATCTTCACCACCTTAAGCCAAATTGGCTGAATGCAGCTCTTATATCAAGATATTCTCATTGCTAAACTCATTTAGCGGATCACTCTTATGTGCTATAGGGGGACGGGTTCGCAATTAAAAGGTTATTAAAGAATCTTAGCTGTTTGGTCAAGAGAAATAACTTCAGCGTCCTTTGGGGGATGCAAATGGTAGATGTATTGGGATTAAAGATGAAGCAACCAGTCGCAATGATCAGAAGAGAATACATCAATAAACGCATGGACCCCATTGAAAGACTAGACTGTGGTCTGGCAATCGCAAGTTACAAACTAAAATATGATTGGGAATGCAGATGAGGCTTAGACAAGGCTGAAACTGTAGAAAAAATAAGGCCGACTTTTAAAACGACCATGCTGATATAATTTATTATATTTTTCGTATAGGAGCAGAAGGGTGATTACATCTCATATAACTAATTTACTGTTAGTCTCGAAACTCTGCTTATATACGAAATAATAAGTAATGTAGTCGATTGTTATAGCAAAAATACGTTTGCTTCATCGACAATCCCATCGAATAATGTGATACGGGAAAAGGCCTGGCCTTCCTTAAGATTCGCATCTGCCCTGTAGCCCAAAGATACTAGCGGCAATGTGGCCGAGTGGTTAGCGCTTCGGGATGACATGTTGCCCTGTCACAGTTCGACTCCCGTGGGGGTGTTGAAAAGACCTATGCGAGGTCAAAACTGCAGTCCATCCTGGATGAGAACTTTTGGAAAAGCAAAGCTACGTGATAGTCACTGGAAACGTCAGCTCTATCATTTTGGGGAAATTCTACTACCACCGAAACAAAACCATTTTTTCGTTTATAATTAGGCTTCGAGATTACTAGTAAATCATGCATAAAAGTTGTATTCATCCTATTTCGTTTAAGATGATGAAGTTGATGGAGGAGATTAGTAGTTGAATTTTCCCATAATGAGATGAGAAGATCTTATTTTTCAAATGAATTTCATATAGCTTTGCTTCCAAAAAAGTATTCTCGTCCAAGCAGATGTGGACTTATGTTTCGACCTCGCCTAAATTGGTTTCATCAGCACATCCAGAGAGACTATCAACGGGACTGAATATAATGTCGAAAGTAAAGACTGCATTACATAGGTTCGAATCCCTCTAGAGGTGCTGCTGAGGCCTAGACGAGGAGGAAACTGCAGTCCAATCCAGCAAAGCCTGGAAGAGAATACCTTTTGGGAAGCAAAGCTGTATGAAATGCAATGAAAACGTAAGGTCTACTCATATCATCATGGGAAAATTGAACTAAAAGTCCTTTCGCGCTTTAAATACTAAATTTATATAAATACCATAATTTGCTTAATTGTAATGATACCACACATGGAAGATAATACAAAAAACCTCTTGCTACAATATTCAGAACAAACAATTCTTCAATTACAAATACCGATCAACGTAAAAGTATTTGACAGTACTTTTGGAATTT